TTTCCATAAAATATATTTAAATTTATAAAGGCAGTCAAAATAAAGGATAAAAAGCCATACTACTTAAGTAGCCGGTTTTTAAAATATGTACGTTTTACTAGTAGTCAGAACGAAGCTCGTTAAAAAGCCTGCATCCTGTCATGACTGAAATGACTTCAGGCTAGACTACACGATAATCAGTATCACAACTTGAGTTAATGCCGATTAGCGAAAGTGTATCAACCTTCCGCGTATGTCGACATGTTGCGTTATCTTTGGCGACCACTGTATTATTGTAAAAAAGAGTTTAGGACGGTTAGGTATCTGCCACTGTTCTCTCTGTGGTTCGGCCCGTATCTGTCTTAACTATCTTTGTGAAAATCACTCACGCGACAGGTTAAAAGGCGCAGCACTTTCGTGTCTGTGCTGTGTGTGTGTGTGTGTGCTGTAGACTAAGAATTACCAGGGCCTTGTCAAATCTGCAACTTAACCTAGGTGGGTGGAGCCTATATAGGATCGTCTCGAATGGGGGCTGATCACGTGATCCGACTACTACCACCTCCACCCCATCCGATCTTCTCTGAATTGCCGCGGGCTCTGAACGCCGAAGGGGACGGAGTGTTCGCACCGGAGCGAAACCCGTAGGCTTCATCGCCGGGTGCGTCGTGTAATCAGAGCCTGGACTGGACTTCAGAGCACATTTTCTTCTCTTCTCTGGAACTTGTTTTGGAAGGAGGAAGAAAGGAAGAAGAATGCTATATTGAGGATTTTACAAACCTGAATTTTCAGCAAAAATAAGGATTTTACAAACCTGAATTTTCAGCAAAAATGGCTCCATTCACGGAGAGCGGACCAACTGACAAGTAATAGAGAAAGAAGAAGAATGCTATATTGAGGATTTTAAAACCTGAATTTTCAGCAAAAATGGCTCCATTCACGGAGAGCAGATGGTAAGGCAAATAAAGGGTCATTTTAAAAGGTCTATTAGCAAAATGGCTCCATTCACGGAGAGCAGATGGTAAGGTAAATAAAGGGTCATTTAGAAAGGACAAAGGTAAAAGGTCATGTAGTACTCACAAGTCAAGTTCTTCAT